AGCAAAGGGCACCAGAAGGATGCGGCCTGAAGCAGCTGCTAGGAGATGTAGCTTTGGGTCCTGGAGAAGAGAACTCGTGGCTACTCAAACCAGGAGCCAGGCTATATGGGGGGGGGTGGTGGAACTGAGGCTGTTCAGGTACACCCCATCTTTGCATGAGCCCCGCTCACCACCCCTGGGCTCTGAGCTCTGATGTCTGTAAATGGGCAGAATGTGTGTATGTGTGTGTGTGTGTGTGTGTGTGTGTGTGTGAGAGAGAGAGAGAGAGAGAGAGAGAGAGAGAGAGAGAGAGAACCATTCCCACACTGAGTCTGCCCATTATCTCTTACTTCTTCATCCACCAAAACAACATGGCTTAGACATCAGGGCAGGTGGGCTCTTCTTCCTTCTGCCCCCTTCTTGCTGTTGTGTGTGTGACAATAGATCATGTGTCCCAGGTTGGCCTTGAACTACATATATACATATATTGGAGGATGCCTTTACCTCTTGAGTGTCAGGCATCTAGCCATGTACTACCACGCCTGGTTTATGTGACTCAGGGGATGGATCTCAGGGCTTTGTGTACACTAGGCAACCCCTTTACCACCTGAGCTACATCCCTGCCATCCTTGCGGCTTTGTGAGTGAGGGTTGTGTCCAGGTGCTTTTCTGGGACCCCAAGCTCTCCTTTCAGGAAAGCTAAGGCTCCTTTTAAAAGACGCTCTTGTCTCAGCTTTGTTTCAGTCTCGGTGGAGGGTGGCCCCCAGGACTGGCCACTTACCGACAGCCTCTGGACTGAGATGGCCACAGTCATGCCTGGTGGGCTCAGTGCAGGGAAATGGGCTGAGCTTGCAGATGGGCTGGGCTGGGAGGCCCAGAGGCTGAGCAAACAAAGCACAAACTGTAAATATGCCTGTTTGTTCTGCTAATGGCTTAGCCTCTCCCACCTAGGATCTGCAGGCCTGGGAACAGCAGGGGCTGCTGGGCCTGGGTTTGGAGTCAACCAACCCAGAGAGGGGTGTATCCAGCACAGAAAGCATGGGGAGCCCCCTGTACTGCAGCTGGGTCGTCCAGGAGCTTTTCTCCTGGGTCCAGTTGAATTCCACAGCGACTGCTCTGATGATTCTAGGGTGAGCTGGGGACTGGGGATTCCTTGACTTGACTCTGCTTTTTCCCCCTGCCTGTCTTCCACAGACTATCTGTCCCTGTCTTCCTGCCCTTGCCCACTAAAAGTTCTGCTTCTCAGAGGTCTCTGGCCTTGCACAAGGAGAGGCTGAGCTGACCTGGCTCAGGAGGAGACCCCTAAGGCTGAGCCTCTGCCAACTTGGACCCAGCAGGCTCATGCCTCCTGTGAGAAAGCCTGGTCCAGTGACCTTCTAGGGTCACATGAACTGACAGCCAGCAATGCCAGCCATCAAGCGGGCTGTGACTGAAGCTCTGAGACATCTGTGAGAGAGCACTGCCTATAGCTCCACCGACTCCCTTCTCTGTCTGCAGGCACCACACCCTCCTAAGCTGCCTGTAAGGCTCGTGGGGATTGGCCATGGACAGGCTTCACCTGCCTGGATTGTGCTCCCTGCACACTCGGGCAGCTCCCGGAGTCTGTGAAGGTCTGCAGGTCCCTCCCTTGGATGATCAGAGAAGCTTACCCAACAAGCTCCTTGGTCTGGCTTCTGGTGTTGGGGGTCTTAGGGATCACTCTTAGTTCTGGGTACTCAGTTTTCCCAGCTAGAGGCCAGAGATTGGCAGAGGTATCTCCAGAGATGAGTTTTTGGAGGGCCCACCTCTCATCCCCCATCTGTATCAGTTCCCTGACCGTCTGGATGCTTGGCCTGGATATCTCCACGAAGCCACTCCTAATGAGGTTGCCTCTGTACGTTTCCAAGCGTGTGGAAATCTCAGGGATGTTTCCTGTGGGAGACATTGCCAGCTTCTGCTGATTAATATCTGTCTTCCCATTTGCTCCCAGCCCAAGCTTCTGTACCCTGACCCTGGAACCACACTTGCAATCTTTCTAGCTTGTCATCCTCCTGCACCAGCACTGGGCTTTGTCCTCCATGACTCCCATCCCAAGTCTACCTGGAACCCCAGTAAGGGAGCTGCTGAGGGCGCGGCTCCATGGGGCCCAGTGCCTGCAGCGCTGAGTGGGGAGGCAGCAGAGCAGACACTGTTCTAGGAGGCGGCTCACGGGTCTTCCAGGTGATACAGTATCATGGGGTGTAGAGAGACCCATAGTGGTGGTTACGGTCAGCGCTGTAACCTGACCTGCAGGAGGAGGCATTTGGCAGTAGCTGCAGGCAGGACGTGGCCTCTGGATGTCAGTGCAAATGAGAAACAGAACGCGCGAGACTGCATGAGAGTGAGAATTGTAGGTGTGCATATGTGAGCAAGTATGTGTGAATATTAGTCCTGGCACACATGTGAGTGTGTGAGAAGGCGGGGTGGTCGTGTGAAAGACCGTCGATGAATGTGAGTAGCCATGAGTGTGCATGTGAGCGAGCAGTGTGTGGACATTCATGTGTGTTGTGAGTGGACCTGGGTGCATCCACAGGGATGCCTACGAGAGTGTTAGGAGATAAGTGTTTATGATGAACACATAAGTGTATGTGATCGCACAACTGCCCGGGCATATGTTGAATGCTTGTGTACATGTATGTGCATGTATCTGAGTGTACATATAAATGTGCAGATATATGAATGCACAGGTGTGTGTGAAGGTGTGTGAATGCGCATGTGTGTGAAGGTATGTGAATGTGCATGTGTGTGAAGGTGTGTGAATGTGCATGTGTGTACAGGTGTGTGAATGTGCATGTGTGTACAGGTGTGTGAATGTGCATGTGTGTAAAGGTGTGTGAATGTGCATGTGTGTGACAGTATGTGAATGTGCATGTGTGTGAAGGTGTGTGAATGTGCATGTGTGTGAAGGTGTGTGAATGTGCATGTGTGTGAAGGTGTGTGAATGTGCATGTGTGTGAAGGTATGTGAATGTGCATGTGTGTGAAGGTGTGTGAATGTACATGTGTGTGCAGGTGTGTGAATGTGCATGTGTGTGACAGTATGTGAATGTGCATGTGTGTACAGGTGTGTGAATGTGCATGTGTGCAAAGGTGTGTGAATGTGCATGTGTGTGAAGGTGTGTGAATGTGCATGTGTGTGTGAAGGTGTGTGAATGTGCATGTGTGTGCAGGTGTGTGAATGTGCATGTGTGTGCAGGTGTGTGAAGGTGTGTGAATCTGCAGGTGTGTGAATGTGCATGTGTGTGCAGGTGTGTGAAGGTGTGTGAATCTGCAGGTGTGTGAATGTGCATGTGTGTGCAGGTGTGTGAATGTGCATGTGTGTGCAGGTGTGTGAATGTGCATGTGTGTGAAGGTGTGTGAATGTGCATGTGTGTGAAGGCATGTAAATGCACACATGTGTGAAGGTGTGTGAATGTGCATGTGTGTGAAGGCATGTAAATGTGTGTAAAGGTATGTGGATTCAGTTCAGAAGCTCTGACATCAGCTCAGTGGCAGCCAAGGTGGAAATGCTTGCTGATGCCAGAACAATTCTTTTTAATTTTTGAAATTATGATATAATTGCATAATTTTCCCCTTCCCTCTCTCCCTTCAACTTCTCCCGTGTACTCCACCTTCTCAAATCCACAGCCTCTTTTTCTTTGCTGTGACATGTATATCCTCTATCCAAGGCAGTCTTAAGGAGGAGCCCCAGCCTGCTCCCACAGCCTGGAAAGCCACCAAGGTCGCTGGACTGGAATCTTGGACATCTGAAAAGGTCATGATAAGCTCAGGAACTCGACCAGAGCTCTGAGGGTAGAGGAGAAGCTCAGCCCTTTCGCCAGCCGTACGGTAGACTACAGCCTCACTGAGGCAACAACCAGGGGGGAAATTTCGTGTCTCTTATGAAATTGGAATGCAGCCCACAGAACTTGCCACCATAAGTCTCCTGCCTCTGCAGCCCCTGACCTCTGCTGGCCAACGTCCACTGTTAGCCACCATATGTGGGCGCTGTGCTGTGTCCTTGCAAACCTGGAGGTGAGAACAGCTCAGAGGGTGCAGGTGTTTCACATGCACAGCACGTGTTCCGCAGAGCTGTTTGCAGTTCCATGAAGATTTTAGAGCTGATGCACTGAGCTGAGGCTGAGCAGTGCCTAGGGAGCCCTGAGCAGGAGGGTCCCAGCCAGGAAAACAGGGCAACTTTGTTTCTAGCTGGGGTGGGCAGTCCTGGACTGGCTTAATTGCTGGGAGGGAGGCGGACTACATATCAAGGTCCCGTGTGCATGTGGTTTGGATGCTCGTTCATGAACCATCTCCTATGGCAGCCTGGAAGAACACAGTGTATGTGGGGGAATGGTAGGGGGCAGGAGAGAGTTGCTGCTTGCCCTAGAGATACATCTTACCCTGCCTGACAGCAGAAGTCTAGACCCACCTTGCCATGCCCCTGGAGCCTTTCCATTGAGGAGAGCTGTTGTCTCTCTCCGATTTAGTTAGCCCCCAGCACTGCACCCCAGTCCCACCCCCCTCACAGCTATTCCAGCATCTCTGGGTGGGAGTGGGAAGCCGGATGCAGCCGGCTCTGTTGCTGTTTTAAGAAAAGAGGGGATCAAGGCAGGGAGGGCCTAGCCCGTGTTCCAGTGGGGTTGTCTGGCTGAGGGACTGCACCTCGCCCCTGCACACCCCCCTACTGAGGTTCTTGGCTCCCTGCCTCGTTCATGAGGTCCTCTTTTCCTGGCAGGCCCAGCACCCCAGCCACCTCCCGCCCTGCTGTGGGTGTGATTTCACAGTGGCGTTCTCCTCGCCAGCTTGTGTCTCACATAGGGGATGTTTCCATTTTTACAGCAGAAAGAAGACGGTTCCAGGCGCCTTAGCTGCAGCCAGAGCACAGTGCTACCCCCCCCCCCCCCCGAGCTGTGCAATGTCAGGTGCTTTGGGGGGCGGGCAGGTTCTGCGTTGCCAGCCATGGCCCTAATTGCTGTCACTCAGAGAGCTGCCTCTAGCCTAGGATGGGCAAGAGCAGGGTCTCAAGGGAAGATATCAGCCCCCAGGGGTACTGGAACCCCTGTCAGCCTCCTGACAACCCCCTCCCAGATCCACGCAGCACCTTTGCGCCCCGGGTGGGTCAATGACTACGGGACAGGGGCTTTGCTGGGGGGACACTGAAAACACGTGCATTGGAGTATCAAGGCCAGGCATTAACCAAGGTAAGTCTTCCTTCTGTGTGCCTCTGGCTACGATGCCTACCTGTGGTGGCCTGTCCCTAGGGCTGGAATGAAGACACGTAATATCTCCACTTCTGGCATGGGGCATGTGCATGATGATTCTGCTGCCAGGCCCCTCACTCTATTCTGTTGCCAAGTGTACTCAAATGACATCCCAAGGGTGTGGGGGAGATGACAGTGTTCATTGTTACCTAATTTTGCTCTCAGGACTGGCCTGCAGAATGTGTAAGTCAGGCTTCCTTGAAAAGTAATATATGCTCTACAGGGTGCAGTGAAGGCCCATGAGTTTGACATCCAAAGTGTTCATAAACCAGCGTGCACTCAGCTCCACTCCCGAATCTCGGGCGAAGGAACAGGAAGGACGGCAAGCAGCACACGCGACAATCTATAAAGAAAGCAATAGCCATGCTCAGGGAAACAAGACAGAGATTCAGTTTCACTTGTCATCAGACTTGTACATCTTGGAGAAACAGGATGCTGTTGACACTGGGGGCACACTGCTCTTGGGGATGATAGTGCAACAGCCACAGCCTTCTGGGCAGGGCAGGTCAAGGGTAAACCTGAAAGGGGTCCTGATTCTTGAGCAAATTCTGGATTGTATCTTGTCCTATGGGTTAACCACACAATTTTTTTCATAGGTTCTAAGAGGTAGAGAGGGTAAACTGAGGCACGTAGTGCCTAGGGTACACACGGACTATGAGCTCAGCCTGAGGAGGATAATTTGACCTGATCCCCGGCAGGCTCCGTGACCCATGCCTGGGGCCCAGACTCCGGGTGGATAGCCTGGCTCTTTTCTGGCTAGGACAGTACAGAGGTGACCACAGCAAGAGCTGTGGACACTGACACACGGCAACTCACAGAGGAGCCTGAAGCTTGGGTGGGCTCTGCCATCCTCCTAAAAACCAGGCTGGTGGGAACTGGGCACAGGTTCCATCTTCTCAGAGCAGCTGTGCACCTGGTACGTGTGCCCTCTCTATTTCCCCCTTGCCCCAACTGTGCTAGGGGAACCACGCTCCTCACTCCTGCAGCCTCCATGACTGCCGAGGCTTCTGCTTCGGTGGACCCCGCCTTACTCACATGACCTGTCTCTACTAGAAGGATATTTTTTCTCCACGGTGAGCCCCAACAGTGCAAGGCGAACAAAAGACAAGGCAGGAGTCAAGGGACTGGCAGCTTTTCCCTTCCCATGTGGGCCTAGGTGACAAGGACCTGTCTCTTCATCACACGAGGCATGTAAAGAGGCAGGGACAGAGATGGAGACAGGCTTCACAGGACCTCCCACACAGACTGACTCTGACCGAAGCTCACATGTCGGAGCAATGATGAGCAATGTATCCTTGAGGACCCTGCCAGAGCCACACCGCACGCCATACTTGGATTTCTTCTCATAAAACCCCTTCAGCCACGCCCCTCCACGCCCTGTCCTCTTCACGGGGAACCAGCACCAAGCTCAAAGCACTGCTGTTGGCCACACTTCTCTCCAGCACCCACTGGAGAGTCTGCCTGGTCTGGCCGAGGCCACACAGTGTATCCTCCAGAGCCAAGCTGAAATTCTTTTTTTTTTTTTTCCAAGCTGAAATTCTTGAAGTCTTGGTCACAGCCTATGTTTCTCCTTGTTAAATGGTGTGTAGCCTCCAGCGGGGGCAAGAGACGCCACCTCTTTCCCAACCCCAGGCTTTTTTTTTTCTTTTTGGTTTTTCAAGACCGTGTTTCTCTGTGTAGTCCTGGCTGTCCTGGAACTCACTCTGTAGACCTGGTTGGTCTCAAACTCACAAAGATCCTCCTGCCTCTGCCTCCTGAGTGTTGGGAGTTGAGGTGTGCACACCACTACCCAGCTTTGCCTACTATCTTAATCCTCAGCAGGTATGGGCTTCTCTGGCTAAGCTTCCATGGTGGGCTGCAGCTCGAAGCTCAGATCCTGTCCTGGAGGCTCTTGGTTCTCACTGTTACTCATAAAACAGTGGCTACTTCCTATGCACTAAACTTGGGCACTGCCTGGCGTAGGCCTTCCTGAAAGCCGCTCTAGGCATAGGTGCGGGGTGTGTGTGGGGGTCAGGTTTGGTCTTACACAATTGGGGATCAGTTATCATGATGTTCCCAGCATAAGATGGGGCAAGAGCTTTGAGCAGCGTCCTTCCTTGGGGAAACCGCCACTTAACGCAGACCTGCATGTATACAAACATGTTTCATACACACACATCAAACAAAGATGTTTAATGCATATACACACATGCATGACAGCGGCACCGAGGGTGGGAAGGACCAGTGGAAAACTAGCCAGCTAGGTCCGAGGCCCTCCAGCACCCACAATTGCTTTCTGGAGGCATGGGACCTAGAATCAGAATTGGGGGGTCTGAATGCCATCTGGTGTCACTACCTGGGCTTCAGGGATCATGGAGAAGGTGTACCAACCTATTGAAACCAGCTTGGAGTCCTGGTCTGGGCTACTGGCCGTACAACTGCAGGGGACTGACCTAGAGTGCATGTGTGTTATTAGGTAAGCTTGTTCTGTGGTGAGGACATCCGTGGCATCTGATGCCCATAATCAGAGCCCCCAAGGTGTGTCTGAACACAGTGATGATGTAAGAGTTCAGGCCTCAGACTCTAGGCCTCTCTAGGGGTTGGTCCTGCTTTGGGATTCTAGGCTAGGACTACTTCCCATCTGTGTCCCCAAGGTACCCTGATTGCCCGAGGATCCCTGTCTCCACCTTCCTGGCTGGGCCCCTCCCACACTGTGGGGCCAGTTCAAATGCACTATCTTCTGGAAACGGTCAGTCTCTTCACCAGGGATTGAACACCCCAAATCCTTTGAGCACCACTGCCCAGCTTGCCCACTCCCAAACTTCAATGGCTCCATCTGCCCCATCCCCACCTTGTCCTTAGTCTAAGTCCCCTTTGGATTTGGAACCACTGGTACAGCACACACCTACCTTGCCCATACTTAGCCCTGTCCTAACCCAGTCCTGTGTATCTCATCTCCCTGGACCACCGTTTGCTGCTCACTGCAACCCATCCTCCTGGCTCTCTGCACATCCAGGCTAAAGGCTGCCCCTCACACCCACAGGCTTATAGCCAGTCTACGGCTTTCTCTGAGGTGACTTTCACATTGGTACATGCTGGCTGTTGCTACCTTTCTGTCTTTTGTCAACTCAGAGACAGATTCTCCCATCTGTTGAGCCCATGTTGGGGTGATCCCTGGGGAAATTGAGGCTGTATCTATTGGTCACTCTTTTTAGCCTATTGACATGCTTGGCCTCGAACACAGCACTGTCACCTGGACTGATGTGCCCAGGAAGGGGTACTAGTGACCTACAGTACTTCTGGGGCTGTAGTTACAGCAGCCCTGGGCCCAGTGTCACAGCACAGCCTAGGAGGCCCTCAGGAGGCCCCAACAGCCTGAAGCAGAAACCTGAGCCCTGACCCTGGTCTGAGGCCTTTCTCTCTATGACCACACCTATAGATGATGAAGGAACTGGGGACCAGGGCGCAAAAGATGGGGGCTTCCATGCCCCTGCCCAGCCCTTGGAGTTGCCTCATGCCATGTCACCCCATTTGCTGCCCTGTGGTGTCATCTAGTCACTTCTTGGAGCTGGTGATGAGGCTGCTTGTTTTAAAATAGATTTTATTGTTACTCAGGTGGTGGGGGCAGGCACAGATCAGAAGACAACTGCCCTTGAAAAAAATCATTTATCCCTCACAGTCACCAAGAGGAACGCGCGTATCACAGGCACACGGACAATGCAAGAGCCAGTCTGGAGGCAGCGGGGACAAGAGGAACACCTGCACAAGAGCCTTTAACATTGCGTGTGCTGCAGCAATGAGGAAGACATCAGGCTTGAGGCCCAGTTGCTAAGTGCCTGGTTCTGACCGGATCAAGCAGAGGCTGGTAGTCTGGGGTGTGAGAACCTGGTAAAGAAAGAGGGTTGCATGTGGGTGCAGGGTCAGGTGATTCGCATATGCAGGAAGAACTGCCAGGTGAGCCCTTCACTGTCAAACCCAAGTGCTTGGCATGGCCCCCAGATGGCAGAGCATCAGAAATAGACAAGGAAAGGCCTGCTCTTTTGCTTGCTGCTCCTTAGAGAAGGGGATGGGGGTACCAGACCCAGCAGTCCTGACTGCCCATGGGATGGGGCACCAGACCCAGCAGTCCCAACTGCCCACGGGATGGGGCATCAGACCCAGCAGTCCCGACTGCCCACGGGATGGGGCACCAGACCCAGCAGACCCAACTGCCCACGGGTTGGGGCACTAGACCCAGCAGTCCCGACTGCCCATAGGAAGGGGTACCACACACAGCAGTCCTGACTGCCCAGCCTCCAGATGGCAGGGCAGCTCTATGGACTGCCCTCAGAGGCCCACTACCAGTTGAAGTCCCTGAGGTACTGAGAATTACCTGGGAGAGGGATGGGCAGATCCCCAGCAGCTCCTGCCCCTACTCTAGACCTGGTCCCTTATGGCTGCTGTCTTCATGTGGCTTCTGATTCTTGTGTCTTTTCTTTACCACGCTTGTCTGGAGAACTTCACAGGAAGAGGCATCCACAGCTCTACCACCACAGATATACGGGCTAGCAATGCCTGATCCCTGAGCCCCAGGACCCCTATCTGCTGTGACCCCTAGCTGAACCTGACTGTGTGCAGCACCCAGCTCTTCAGTGGACCAGGGGCAGACCGTCCCAGGGGAGATGGAATTCCCTTCAGGACGGGCTTCTTGAACACCAGCCTTTTCTTTGTGCCTCTTGCTTTTTGCTGCATGGCTATGGCCTTTGGAGAACATCCAGTCCTTCCCAGTAGCCCCAGAACAAGCCCAGCCTATAGAGCCTCCTCAGGACTGTAAAGAAATGCCCATGCCACTGCCTGCCTCCCTGTGGGCCTCACTTGGTACTGAGGGAAGCCTCTTGGAGGGCATGCCACTGCTTTGACTGGTCCGTGGCATCTACCTCCTAGAGAAGGACTGGAAACCTTTTATCACAACGGGACTGAATCCGAGTCCTGCTTTGGTCTTTTGGTTTTGTGTGTCCCATTTTATGATCATTTCCTTCTTTTTGTGTGTTTCCCCCCTTTTAACTAAAATGATCCATTTACTGCGCTAAAGGCTGTGTATTCGGGACACTCACCCGGCAGGTGAGCCTGCATCATAAGCAATAACGTGAAACAAAGACACCCATTCCTTTATATTCTAGACTATTTAATGGCACACAGACCGTGATGAACTTTGGGGTTATTCACTCTTTAGTCGTGGTAACGTGGCCTTAATGCGAAACTCATCATTTTAACCACTTTACAGTGTGCCGTGCAGTGGCGTCGTGTGTCTTTGCATTATTGTGCAGCCGTCCCTACCACCCATCTGCGGAACTTTTCATCTTCTCTGACCGAAACTCTGTGCCCTTTAAACATCTGCTTCAGCCTCTGGCAACTGCCACTCTGCTTTCTGTCCCCATGAATGCGATGGCTGTGGAAGGGTGAGATCACACAGCCTTTTGTCCTTTTGTGACTGGCCTACTTCACCCCTCTGTTTCCACCTTTCTGCTGCACGACGTTTGGGCTCTCTGTGTTCTGGAGCTGTGGGAAGTACAGTAGATGTCCTGCTTTTGGTTCTCAGGGCTCACTTCTCAGTTTTCAAAAACATGCTTTAATCTCTGGTTCCCCACTTATCAAGCGTTTGGTAGGAAATCACACTGGTGGTCCCCAGTATTGTAGACCCCGTCAGAGTTTAGTCAAATCTGTGGCCCTGAATTCTTTCCATACTCCTGTTACTCAGAACAGTAATACTAGGGCTGGAAAGATGGCTCAGTGGGTAAGAACACTTGCTGCCTGGCACAGGACCTGGTTCAGCTCCCAGAACCCACATGGTAGCTCACAATTACCTATAACTCCAGTCATGACCGTCTCTTCTGATCTCCAAGGCTCTGCACATACACGATGCACGGGCAAAACACCCATACATATAAATTTTTTTTTTTTAAAAAAAGGCTATGCTGAGCTATTAGTATATTTGTATTAATTACATCCCATGAGTTTCCCTGCCCCTGAAAGCACCTATACCCTGCACTAAATGTTCAGATTTGGATGGAGACGTGTTCCAGGGCTGAGTGGTTTTTCAAGACAGGATTTTTCTGTTTAGCAGCTCTGGCTGTCCTGGAACTCACTTTGTAGACCAGGCTGCCCTCAGACTCACAGAGAGACTCACTGGCCTCTGCTTCCCAGTGCTGGGATTACAGGCGTGCACCACCACCGCCCAACTGAAGATCACAGGTTCCTGTATGCTCTGCTAGGGTTGTGAGCAGGGGCTGTGCCTCCAGGACTCCTCCTGCCTTGGTTTAAAAAATTCAAAAGAAGCGTTTTCATTGGTTTACTTTGGATCATGTGACTCCTCCCGTCTAATCAATGTGGGCAGGAATTAAGGCATCGTGACTGGCTAAGTGTAGCCTATAAGGCTGACCCTGGTTGTCTACTGCAGGGCCAGGCTCCTGAGTTTAGCCATCCTAGTAGCATTGCCACCCTGCAGAGCTGGCAGGCCTACTTTGTGGAGGAAACTGGTGTCCCCCGTGAAGTGGCCTAGGAGACACCTTCATGGTGACTCTCTCTTACTTTTATGTAGCTGTGACCTAAATCCTTGAGAGAGCAAAAGTTCTTATTGGCTTACTTCTAGAGGCTTCAACTCGGTTCATGGCCCCATGGGCTTGGGCAGAGCACTACAGGAGTGGGAGAGCAGGACATTTCATGAGCAGTTAGGAAGAAGAGAAAGGGTGGAGACCAGGCCAGGACATGGCCTCAAGGACACACCTCCTCTACTACTTTCTCTGAGTAGACATCTACCCTTCCACTCATACCATCATCGAACCCCTCAAGGCTTCTACCCATGCCCTCTCAGAGATACCCAGAGCTGGGCTTCACGTCCATAGATGGTCCTTAGCTCAATCAAAACCAATTATCACACACGGTGATTCCAGAGTAGGTGCAGATTCACTGGATCCTACTGTGAGTCATCATGAATGGGCGCTAACATGGCGGTACTGGTCCACTTAGCGTCAACTCTTTCAGGAAGCCTTCCTGGCTTTGCCAAACCAGGCCCAGGTTTGGTAGTGACTTCTCCACATCACATGGGAGAGTGAGACGATGTCCTTGTCTCTGGCCTCAGTCAGGTGCTTGGTAAATAGGTACTGGATTCAGCTGGTAGGCTATGCTGCCAGGACCAGACTGGCCCCTTCACCTGTCACCCTCATGTGGACGCTTCTGGCCAAGTCTTTGCCTTATGTTCTAGTCTTCTAGACCCTTCGCCCACAGGACAAGGCTGGGACTACCCCTCTTGCCTGAGGAAGGGCTGGGTTGGCGCTGCCTCGTCAAAGTCAACACAGCACCAGTGTAAATCACCAAGTTTAGTTGTTTATGGAGCCCTGGAGTGACTGTGGTGTGCGTGGCTGTGAATCAGGGCCGTGTGAGGAAAAGACAGGCTTATGTGTGAGAACTCACCGAAATGCCCATTACAGAGATTTATGCCCATCCTTAAATATTGGAGATTAATTTTTTGAAAACATCTATAAAATAAGAGATTTATACCTAAAACGATACCATACATGGTGACAGAAAGGGATTAGAGTCAATTTATTCATGTATTAGTCAAAAACTCAATTTCATATATTGTGTAGAAAAATTAAAATCCTTTCTGCATTTTATTACAAATTATGTATTCTCCATATATGGAGATAAATAATTGATAGCATTACAAATACTTAATCTAGAAAATATTTATTAGGAACAGACAACTCATTTTTTAATGTGTTTTGTTGAGGACGATATTGCACACTTTAAAAAATTAATGACAATTTTTTTTTGCAAGAAAAATAATAGACACCCTAATTCTTTTGTTTAGCCTCTTGTCCGGGCCCAGGCAATACGCCGGGTAGAAGGACATGCACACTGTTGGCCTCAGATGAGCTGAAGCGCTCTGGGACCTGGCTCTCTGCCAGCCCCTTGGCTGCAGCCTGGGAGAGGCCTTGGAGAGCACCAACATATTGTGTTCTCCAAACTCTCTGTGGCTTGCAATTTTCGAATAAGTGTTTCCGACTTAATCTTTGAGAAAGCACCAAGCAACCTGATTTGTGACTGTGCTAGAAGGGCCAAGAAATCAGCGTCCGACAGCTCCCAGACTGGAGTGACACGCAGCCACGGATGGTCGGGCTGGGCTCAATCTGCACCTTCTGAGGCAGGTAGCCCCGCCACTATTTGCCTTTCGTGGCCTTGGGAGGGGGCTCTCAGCCTCCTCCTAAAACTTGTCCATGTCCCAGAGTCACCCACGCCTCCCACCGCAGGCCTGGCATGAAGGAGAGAGGCTCTCTGCACCTGTCCCTTTACCATGCCAGGCTCTGGAGTGGGCCTTTGCCTGCTCCATGCGCTCTGTGCTTGCTGCATGTCTTGACGCCAGGGCCGGCAGTTAGCAGGGCCCAGTGGCAGTGCCTCATTGCCCCATACCAGCCCATCCAGGGACACACCTGGGATTGAAGAAATAATTGTCATGTTTATTAAAATATAAATTTTGTGCCTAACGGAAGTGTTGCTTCTATACATAGAAAAATGTTTAAAACAAAAACCAAAACAGTTTTCAAAGGCACCATAGCATTAATTATTCATCTTTCCCTAATGAAAACATGCCTTTGCAGGCGACAGGCTCCCCCGTCTCCACATGGGGGCCTCCGGGCTCCTAGGAAGGCTGCCTCAGGGAAGGGTAGATTTGGAGCTTGGGTGAGGGGGTCTCTGTATATCAGGATCCAGGACATAGGTGACTTTGAGTTCCAGTGTCCCTTGAATGAGGTGGGAGCAGCCACATTCCCCTCCTTGTGTCTACTCAAGGAGTGTGGGTGTTGGGCCTGTGGCGTGTGCATCCAGAACCCTGGATCCAGAGAGGTGAAGGAGATAGCCTGACCTGCAAGAGTACCAATGGACACTGGTCACCAGATAGGCCAGGGAGGAAGGATTATGAAAGGATGGGTCAGGGAAGGGACAAAGGCCTTTTTTCTGACCAGACCTTTCAGTACAGGGGGCAGCTCAACGGTCCATGTCTGGGAAGGCCATTCCCTCACAAGCATATGGCCCACAGTTCTTCCCTGTCCTGAGGGCTTGCTGACCTGTACCAAGTGGTTACTTCTCAGGCTCAGATTTATGAGGTTTCAGTCTGCAGACACTGATTGCCCCGGCTCAGACAGGCTTTCTGCCTAGCATCCCCGGGGCAGCTCAGTTCCTTCCTCTGGCTCCATTTGTGTGTTCAGTGACATCACTTGTGTTAGTCGGGACGAGACACCTCCAAATCAGGGCTTTCAAGGAGTAGAGAAAGATCCCAGACTAACTCAGGCTTGTCTGCTCTAAGTCACTGGATCCCTAGACATCCTAGAATCTACTAGGTTCTGAGTGGAAGAAGCAGGACTTGAAAGTTCGTTCATGGCGTGTACCACACCTACCCAACCCTATGACCCAAACCACACACATAGGATGCTGGCCTTTAGGGGTTGATGGGGCCGGTCTTAAAGTGGAGAGCAGCAGCAGGTGCTTCTGTGATCCTCTGTGTCTCCTCCCCTCAGACCTTACAGTGCCCCTGGCACACCATAAGCAGATGTAGTGCTGTCTTTGGCGTCTGGCTACAGACATCCTGGCCTGGTGCTCTATCGTCCAGTCTATGAAGCCAGGGTTAGGGCTGCATAGCTCCTATCTACAAGATGCTAGACCTCGGCCTCCCATGCTTGGGGCAGTTCCAGGTTGTGGGCAGGCTTGGGGTATTTGTTCTCATTCATTCATTCATTCATTCATTTCCTCACTCACTCATTCCTACAGCCATTCATTCACAAACACTCCCAACACCTCAGACATGCTCTGGCAAGCAGGTCTTCTGGGGAGGAAAGATGCTGAGCCCATCAGTCATCCTCAGCTCAGGAACCTGGGGAGCCAGAGGGAGCCTCTCTGATCTGCACTGACAGCCAAGGGTGGGG